GGGAGAAAAGGGGGATAAAAGGGGTTATTTTAGTAAATCCCTTCTAGCTGGTGCAGGTGATGGAGAAGGGCTCGTCGCAGGGGTTTTCTCAGCCTAAGGGAGGGCTTGGCCAGGGGATTAGGTTGGATCTTGGGGACAATTCCTTCCCCAAAGGGCTGTCAGGCCCTGGCCCAGGCTGTCCAGGGGGGAGTCCCCATCCCTGGAGGGGTTTCCAAGCCCTGGAGATGGTGCTGAGGGACATGGGGCAGTGGTGGCCTGGGCAGGGCTGGGGGAAGGGTTGGACTTGGGCTTTAAAGGGCTTTTCCCACCAAAATGATTCCGTGGTTTATAGTAACTGAAGAAAAAAAGCATGACTTTCTTAGCAATAAAGAGACACCTGGACCAGCCAGTCCTTTCCAAACCTGCTGTATTTGGTGGGAATCCAGGAATGCTCCAGAGGTGGGTTTGGCTTTAACCTTGACCTCAATGATCACCCTGACCTGGTGGCTTTGACACCTAATGAGTGACAACAGGGCTAATTGCAGCCACTGGACCTGCTCCTGAAGCTGCTGGTGCTGAGCTCCAGCCTCACCTGCACGTCCCTGCTGGTGGCAGGGAACAAAATGCTCCTGTTTTCTGACAGAAAACATGGAATTTGGGAAAATTTCCTCCTCCTGCTGCAGGATCCTAAGAGACACCTTGTCCTGTCCTGCCAGATAAACCCTCTGATGGCAGAGTGAGGACAACCCTGGTGTGGAACACTTCCCTCTCATGATCTAACAATAGAATGAGTGATCCCAAAAAACTATCTGGTGTCCCTGTAGGAATGGGAATGATGTGGAAGAAGAGGAAGCCAGAGTAGGGTAACGCTGCCTGCCGACGGACTGGGAAGGCAATGGCCTCTCCTCTGGCTGCCCCCACAGTGGTTGCAGATGTAATTAAAGATCTAGACACTCAGATAGCTGTAAGTAAAGCCCCCACGGGGCTCAGCATGTGGGATTTGTCCTGGGAATCTCTGCATCCCATGGGAATGTTGTGGTGGGGAATCTCCGGGACTCAGCCAAGAAAGGGACAGAACCATTTCCTGGCTCCTGCAGTGTGTTCTGCCCAAGGCCTGCAGTGCTGCCTCCCCTGCATGGTGGGTCAGAATTCCTGCTTTGTGGATTTGGGAAGTGGTTGTGTGGGAGGGGGTGCAGACTGAGATCAGCCTCAGCTGAATCTGAAACTGAAGTCCCTCCTGAGCTTGTGCTGAACTGTCAGGTGCCACCCGAGGGGTTTCAGGGTGTTGATGGGAGGGTTTTCCATCCTTCACCAATTACAGCTGAGGCAGGAATTTGCTGAGGGCTCCATGGAAACGTGTCTGGGATTGAAATTCTCCTGGAAGGGCTCAGTGTCCAGCACTGCATGAGTGTGTCTTGGGGTGAAGCACTAAAGCAGCCACTTCCACCTGCTCCTGTGTGATCCCTGCTGTGTGTTTTGTTATGGATTAATCCCAACTAACCCAGTTTTGGGGGGGAAAAACCTTGGAGTGGAGCTCAGGTCCCAGCAGCTCCTTCCCTGGCTTCACATGCCCAGGGCTGGGAAGATTTAAACAAAGAAGGAGATTGAGGTTGGACATGAGGAGGGAATTGTTGGGTGTGAGGGTGGTGAGAGCCTGGCCCAGGTTGCCCAGGGAAGCTGTGGCTGCCCCATCCCTGGCAGTGTTGAAGGGCAGGTTGGATGGGGCTTGGAGCAACCTGGGCTGGTGGGAGGTGTCCCTGCCCATGCAGGGGTTGGATCTAGATGTCCTTGAAGGTCCCTTCCAACCCAAACCATCCCATGATCCCATGAAACTCTGCTCCTATCAGTAGGTGCTCCCTGGAGTACAGGGAGGTGAGGGCTGCTCTCAGCAGCTGCTGGTCACTCTTCCCTGGACCCACCAGGGCTTTTACACCAAACCCCTCATGAAATGCTCATTCCAGGTGACAGTCCTGTCCCTGCTGTCCTCTCTGCTTGGGGGGAAGGCCCAAGGTTTAGATGAGTTTTCCTCTTGGAGCCTGGAGCTCCAGAAAAGCTGGACAGGGATTTTGGACAAGGGCAGGAAGTGAGAGGACAAGGAGGGGATGGATTAAAACTAGAAGAGGAGAGATTGAGGTTGGACGTGAGGAAAGGACAACCCATGTCTTGTGCTCACATCATCTTTGTGGGGACTCCTCTCAGAGCTGCTTGTTCTCCATGGAATGTGGCCCCTAGGGTGGGCACACACCAGGATCCATCCCAAGGGGTGTGCAGGTGGGTTGGTACCACCTCAGAGCTGTTGGCATGTGGCCAACTTCTTGTTCCCTCTCTTGTTCTCCTCTTCTTCTAAACATTCCTCCTTCCCTTCTTGCTGTGCCTGGAGAGACCAGATCATCTCCAGACCTCCAGGTTCCCTCAGGACTCTGCAGTTCCCTCTGGACAAACCTGTGCTCACCCCATGGAATTCCCTCTGCTCACTAACACCAGCTTTCCTTTCCTTTTTCCAGTTGATTGGTTTGGGTCCTCACAACCCCAAGAAGAAGCAGGACCTTGAGAAGCTTTATGATCTAAAAGCTAAAGCCCAACAGATTATGAACCAGTTTGGCCCTTCTACCTTGATCAACCTCTCCAACTTCTCCTCGATCAAGCAGGAGCCCCCCAGCCCCCCCCCCCAGAGCTCCATGGCCAACAGCACCACCGTGGCCAAGATGCCAGGGACACCCAGTGGAGGAGGACGTCTCAGCCCTGAGAGCAACCAGGTGATGGCATCATCCCCCACCTCAGGAGGTGCCCAGACCTGCCTGGGGCTTCATTCCTGCCTTAAAAACAAAAACAGGCAGGAATTTGGTGTTTGGTGAAGTGTCAGTTCCTGGGTGAGGCTGGTGAGGGCAGTGAGAACTTCCAGCCACATCCTAGAAAACACAGTGTCCCACTGGTGTCCAGCAGAATAGAATCATGGAATGGTTTGGAAGGGACCTTAAAGATCATCCATTCCCACCCCCTGCATGGGCAGGGACACCTCCCAGCAGCCCAGGCTGCTCCAAGCCCCATCCAACCTGCCCTTCAACACTGCCAGGGATGGGGCAGCCACAGCTTCCCTGGGCAACCTGGGCCAGGCTTTCACCCCCCTCACACCCAACAATTTCCTCCTCATCTCCAACCTCCATCTCCCCTCTGCCAGTTTTAATCCATCCCCCCTTGTCCCATCCCTCCCTGCCCTTGTCCCAGGTCCCTCCCCAGCTTTCCTGGAGCCCCTTCAGGCCCTGGAAGGTGCTCTAAGGTCTCCCTGGAGCCTTCTCTTCTCCAGGCTGAACACCCCAGCTCTCCCAGCCTGGCTCCAGAGCAGAGCTGCTCCAGTCCTCCCATCATCTCCATCTCCAGCATCCAGTGACATTTCAGTGCCACTTGGGTGCAGGAGACTCATTCCCCAGCCCTTCTTCATCCCACTTTCTCTGCAGAGCAACCTCTGGTGCTTCCAGATGCCTCCTCCATACCTGAGGTTTCTTACCTCTGCTGTTCCTGAGCTGGTGGCTGTGTCCTGTGGGCTGGGGTCTTGGGGTGGTGGCAGGAGCTGTTAGTGGCTCTGCAGTCACTTGTTCCTCTTCTCCCACACACTCAGGTTTTAACCAAGAAGAAACTGCAGGACCTGGTGCGTGAGGTGGATCCCAACGAGCAGCTGGATGAAGATGTGGAGGAAGTAGGTCCCAACCTGGGGCAGGGGCTGCAGGAAGAGCTGATGGGGGAGTTTTCAGGGACTGGTTCCCCTTTGTCCAAGGGAGGGTTGTGGAGTCTCAGAGTGGTGGGGTTGGAAGGGACCTCTGAAGATCATCCGGTCCAACCCCTGCCAGAGCAGGATCCCCTGGAGCAGATCCCACAGGAACATGTCCAGGTGGGGTTGGAATGTCTCCAGGGATGGAGACTCCACAGCCTCCCTGGGCAGCCTGTCCCAGGGCTCTGTCACCCTCAGAATCAAGAAGTTTCTCCTCATATTATCGCGACCCTCCTGTGCTCCAGTTTGTGCCCATTACCCCTTGTCCTGTCACTGGGCACCCCTGAGACAAATCTGTCCCATCCTCCTGCCACCTCCATGTAGATATTGACCAGCCTTGCTGAGATCCCCCCTCAGTCTCTTCTCCAGGCTGAACACCCCCAGCTGCTCAGCCTGACAGGACAGGTTCTTGTCCTTCTTCTCCTGCCCCAGATGCTGCTCCAAATCGCCGACGACTTCATCGAGAGCGTGGTCACTGCCGCCTGCCAGCTGGCCCGGCACCGCAAGTCCAGCACCCTGGAGGTCAAGGATGTGCAGCTGCACCTGGGTGAGTGGAGGGGGAAGGGCTTGGGGGTTGGTTTTTGTCCACCTCTCAGCCCTGGTGGAGCTGCCACCCTGGGAGGGGCTGCAGCTCCATTCCTGTGGTCAGAGGGGGCTGCCCCACCCGTCCCCTCTGCAGCGCCATGGTTTGTGGCAGCTTGGGTGGGAGTCAGAGAAACTGGAATCACAGAATCATAGAGTGGTTTGGGTTGGAAGGGGCCTTAAAGATCATCCAGTCCCACCCCCTGCATGGGCAGGGACACCTCCCACCAGCCCAGGTTGCTCCAAGCCCCATCCAACCTGCCCTTCAACACTGCCAGGGATGGGGCAGCCACAGCTTCCCTGGGCAACCTGGGCCAGGCTCTCACCACCCTCACACCCAAGAATTTCCTCCTCATGTCCAACCTCCATCTCCCCTCTCCCACGTTTAATCCACCCCCCCTTGTCCTCTCACTCCCTGCCCTTATGCCAAGTCCCTCCCCCTTGTTGGAGGGTCCCTGCACACAGGGACTGTCTCTTTGTCATGTTTCCCACCATGCAGCCCCTTGTGGAGCTTTCAGAGCTGGTGAGGGGATCAGCAGCACAGCAGGTTTTGGGGATGAGGGGGCAGAGGTGGGGCCAGAGCCTCCTGACCTGTGCCTCTTTCTTCCAGAACGTCAGTGGAACATGTGGATCCCGGGCTTTGGTTCTGAAGAAATCAGGCCCTACAAAAAAGCCTGCACTACAGAAGCTCACAAACAGGTAAGGAGCTCTTGGTAAAGCTGGGGATTGTTGATACAGGGAGGGTGGGCTTGGACTCCTGACACCAGTTTGTAGCCTTTTCCATGTGGTTTGGACTTGAAATAACTCCCAGGGTCTCCTTGCCTGGTTGCACAGAGGGGATGGATGTTGCTCTGGCTTCTCTGAGTGTGCCCTGAGAGGAGCAGGAGTCACTGTCTGAGGGGCAGCTCAGCTGGGAAGGGTTAAATCCAGCAGAGCTGCAGACATCAGCAGGGGGAGGCTGAGGGGAGAGCTGCTTTTTCTCCACAGCTCCCTGAAATGAGGTTGGAGTGAGGGGGGTTGGTCTCTCCTCCCAACTACTGGGTGGTAGGACAAGAGGGGATGGCCTTAAGTTGCCCAGGGGAGGTTTAGATTGGATCTTGGGAACAATTTCTTCCCCAGAGGGTTGTCAGGCCCTGGCCCAGGCTGCCCAGGGCAGGGGTGGAGTCACCATCTCTGGAGAGGTTCATAAACCATGTAGATGTGGTGCTGAGGGACCTGGGGCAGTGGATGTGGTGGGGTTGGGTTGGTGGTTGGACCTGATGATCCTAGAGGTCTTTTCCAACTTCCATGATTCTGTGATTCCCTGGTCAGAGTCTGCAGTTCATGGCTGATGCTGCAGCTCCCTGAGAGCAGAGCTCTGGGGGTGGGCTGGGATCCCCTGGGGGTGGGCTGGGATCCCATGGGGTGGGCTGGAATCCCCTGCACTCTTGACCCCTCATGCCTCTCACTAAAATCATTGATTGGTTTGGGTTGGACCTTTAAAGGCCACCTAGTCCAGCCCCTGCAGTGAGTAGGGACCTTTTTAACTAGATCAAGGTGTTCAGAGCCCCATCAAGCCTGACCTTGAGTGTCTCCAGGGGTGGGGCCTCCCCCCCCTCTGTCAGTGTTTCCCTGCCAGCCCCCAGGGCAGGAGCAGAGACATTTCCTGCTCCTCTGTCTCCCTCTGGGGACCCCATTAAAGATTCAAACAGACTTGAAAGACCTTGTGAAACGAGTCAGGCAGAGCCCTGGGAGAACCCAGGAGCCTCCTTCCTGCACAGTGAGGGGCTGGTCTGCAGCAGCCTCTTTGGAGACACTCAGCTTCCTACATGGAATCACAGAACTGTGGAATGGTTTGGGTTGGAAGGGACCTTAAAGATCACCCAGTTCCAACCCCATGGGCAGAATTCCCTCCTCTGCAGGGCTGGTGGCTCCAGCTTCCTTCTGGCTCTGCCCCTGCATTTGCCTCTTCAGATGTGAAGAGGATGAATTATCAGTCAGGATCTGATATCACTGCTAAAGAGGTAGCAGAGCTGCAGGGAACCCGAGAGATGTTTGTGCTTCATGTTTTAAAGCAGTTTCTTTCCACAAAGATTGTTCTCATGGACACCCCCCCCTTACAATGTTGAATTTCTGATCTCACCTGCTGAGGGATGAGCTCCATCTGCAGTGCTGCTCTGCTCACAAGCAGATTAAAAAGCAGATGCCAGTTGCTGTTAGAGCTGGGAACTGGAGACAGCTTAAAGAATTGTAGGATGATGGGATGGTTTGGGTTGGAAGGACCTCAAAGATCATCCAGTCCCACCCCCCTGCATGGGCAGGAACACCTCCCACCAGCCCAGGTTGCTCCAAGCCCCATCCAACCTGCCCTTCAACACTGCCAGGGATGGGGCAGCCACAGCTTCCCTGGGCACCCTGGGCCAGGCTCTCACCAAACATCTTTCCCTCCCTCTCCCCAGAGGATGGCGCTGATCCGCAAAACCACCAAGAAATAACCCCTGGGAGGAGGAGCCGGGAGCAGACGCCGCAGGTTGGGACACCTCCCTCTCCACCCAAACCTCCACAACGTCACCACCATCCATGGGATATTTTTTTTAATGCTTTACAGAGAAGCATCTATTTTTGATGACCGGTCCAGCAATATCTTGACTTTCTGAGGAGATCTGCCAAAAAAAAACATCCTGCCCCCTCTTCCTCATCCTCCTCCCCCTCCAAGAACTCAACGTATCTTCAAACAAAGACTTTTTATTTGTGGCTTGAACGTGGTTTATTGTATCAGTGATTATCCAAGGGACAGATCGTGTGTGGGACAGTATTAGAAGCATCTGTAGAGGTTTTTGGTTTTGGTTTGGTTCCTCCTTCTTTGCTCCAGTACTTTGTAATGTCAGTGTTTATATAAATACTTGCATTTGTTTTACATGAATAAAGAAATTATTAATCTAAAACCAGGGCAGAGTCGTGTGCTCTTCAGCCTGGGGAGGGGTTGGTGAGGGACATGGTCAGGCTCCATGTGTCCTGGTTGTGGGGAAATATGTCCTATCTGGAGGATGCAATGAGGGGAAGGGGTTTGGGGAAGGGGTTTGTGGGGAAGGGTTTTGTGGAGAAGGGGTTTGGGAGAAGGGTTTTGTGGGAAGGGTTTTGTGGGAAGGGGTTTGGGGAAGGGGTGTGTGGGGAAGGGTTTTGTGGAGAAGGGGTTTGGGAGAAGGGTTTTGTGGGAAGGGTTTTGTGGGGAAGGGTTTTGTGGAGAAGGGGTTTTGGGGAAAGGTTTTGTGGGAAGTGTTTTGGGGAAGGGTTTGGCCTCTGGCAGGGCTGGGCAGCAGCTTCTCTGCTCACCCAGCCCAGATTCCCCCTCGCTTGGATATTTGGAGCATCAGGAGTGGGAAACGGTGACAGAGAACAAGAAATCAAGGTGATTTTGGTTCTACCCGTGCATGGGACATGAGAAAGGCCCCGTTCCTACCTGGCTGGGCTCAGGCTTTGCCAGAGGAGCTGCTGCTGGGGAAGAGGGACCTCCAGCTCTGCCAACACCTGCGGGCGGGAGCAGGACCGGCTGCCCCGGCCTCCCGGTACCGGCAGGGAAACTGCCTGGGCTGGAATGACTGGGGAACCCGCCGGTGCTCCCTCTGGTTGTGTCAGGGCTGAGGAAGGAGCCTGGGATGTTCCATAAACCCTCGTGGCCTCAGGGGGCCTGGGCTGAGGGTGCTGGGGAAGCTGCTCCAGCACCAGCTGCTGGGTGGGAACATGGAGCTGCTGAGCGGGGTGCCCGGGAGCAGCTCCTGTTCCCACCAGTTCCCACCAGTCCAACCGGCCCCAAGAGAAGGGTCGGGTGGTGAAAGGGGTTTCAGAACGTCCCTGCCCTGAGGTGGGACCTGGGGTGTGGGAGGAGCTCTGGGTCTGGATGGGGACAGGGACAGACTCCATGAAGGTCTCTGCAAAAGAACCCGTCACCGTGTGGGACCGAGGGATCCAGGCTCCCTCAGGACACTGCCCTTCTCCAGGAGGGGGGTTTGGAGAGAGGACAGGGGACCTGGGGTGACACCCCATCCTGCCTGGGGACATCACCCGTGGGTTCCCCTTCCCTACAAAAACACAGGCAGGCAGGGATGACCAAGGGGTGTTTAATGCTCCCTTGCTCCCCTCCAGCACGTCCCAGCCCCGCGGGGACAGGCTGCCCAGTGTCCCCAGCTCTAGCACGAGCACCTCTTCCTCTTCTCCTCCTTGTCCAGCAGCTGGAGGGGCGCAGGCAGGGGGATGCTGCTCTTCACCCCATCCCAGGCCTCGCTGGGAACCAGCCTCCCGCTCCGCAGCGCCTGGTAGATGCCCAAGCTCAGCATCTGGAAGGCTTGGACCACGTTGCTGGAATCCTTGGCTGAGGTCTCCACGTACTGCCCCCCCAGGGAGGCCGCCAGCTTCTCCGCCTCCCTCCGGGCCACCCGCCGCTGCCCGGCCAGGTCGCTCTTGCGTCCAACCAGCAGGAAGACGATGCGGGAGGGCTGGACCGTGTCCGTCACCTCCCGGTGCCACTGCCGGACGCTCTGGAAGGACGCGCGGTTGGTCAGGTCGAAGAGCAACATCCCCCCCGCCGAGTTGCGGTAGTAGGAGCGAGTCACAGACCTGGGAGTCGAAAGCAGCAGGGTGAGCAGCCCCCCCTCCCAGCCCCTCCCCTGTGCCCCCAGCTGCAGAGCAGCCCCAGCCACCTCCTGGCCCCTGCACCAGGCCCCTTGTGGCCAGGCCACCGTGAGAATCGTCCCTCCTGCTGGCTCTGTCCCCACAGGGCCACCAAAAGCTCCTCTGGCCCCTGGACCCACCACCCCAAGCTCTCCCATTCCCTGAAGAAGAGTCCTGCAGCTTTCCCCACAGCTGTGTCCCCTCCAGCTCTCCTGTCCCCAGCAGCCATGTCCCTTTGAGCTCTCCTGTCCCCAGCAGCCACCTTCCTGGTGCTCTTCCATCCCTTCTGGCCGTGTCCCTCAAGCTCTCCCATCCCCTGCAGCTCCAGGCCCATCATTCTCCTCCTGTCCCCTGCAACTCCATGGCCTGAGCCCCCCTGTCCCCAGCAGTGAGGGGTGCAGGCTCCTGGCAGCTCAGCTGAGGAAATCACTTTCTCCAGCTCTCCCAGTGAGCTCCCAGGCTCTTCCCAGCAGCTGGTGGTGCTTGGGGAAGCGGGAGGCAGGTCCCACACCCCCTTTGGAGCTGGAGTCAGGGCTTAAAAGGCAACATTGAGGGCTCCTTGCCCTTGGCCTTGGCTCGTCAGGTCCCTGGGGTTTGCTGGACGTGGCTGCAGGGACAGGAGGGCTCAAGGTGGTTCCTCAAGCCCACGGATGGTGGTTCCACACCCACGGATGAGGAGCCCACCATGGTTCCCACCACCACCAGCAAAGGGACCAGTGGTGACACAGCCTTCTCCAGGTCCTCCCCAGGGTTGGGATCACCACACACCCCAAGTCCAGGGGACACACACACACACACACACACACATATCCCCCCTCCTCACCCCACAGCTCAGACCCACCTGAACCTCTCCTGCCCGGCCGTGTCCCAGAACTGCAGCTTCACCCTCAGCCCCGGCTCCAGCTCCACGAACTGCACGTAGAAATCCACCCCCACGGTCTGGTTGATGGCCTCCAGGAACACCCCCTCGGTGTAGCGCCGCAGCAGGGAGGACTTTCCCACCGTCGAGTCCCCCAGCATGATCACCCGGAACTGGTAGTGCCACCGCGGCTCCATCGCACCGCGGCGTGTGCGGGCAGGCAGGGCCAGCCCCCCCCCCCTCCACCAGGCGTTCCCACCCCACCGTGGGTGCTGGGTGGCTCCTTTCCCTTGGATCCATCTCCAGCTGGAAGTGCTCACGGGCTTGCCCAGTCCCGCTTTATCCCTAGGGTGGGAAGCCCAGCAAGTGGAATGGCTGGACGTGAGGGGGGTGATTCACCAGTGACACCCCCCATCCCAAGCAGGGCAGCCCCCACGGGGGGTGTGTGTCCCTGCCAGGGCCCCAGAGCTCAGCACGGCCTTTATTTAGCGTGGAAATGCCTCAGGTTTCGTAATAACCAGTTTTATTTCTTTTAGGCCCATCAAATTAAGGCTTCAACCCAGGCAGGGACGTCGCCGAAGAGGAAGGGGCTGCGGGGTGGGGAGACAAACACTGGAAGGTGCCAGGGCTCTGCTGCCCCCAGCAGCACTGGCAGCGTTCCCGGGGCTCCCTGGGGGCCGGGGGCTGGGGGTGCCTCTGGCTGGGGATGAGCC